GGTCAAATCACTTTAAACATCCTACAAGTACTTAAATGATTTTAGCCTCTTAAATACTTAAATGACTTCCTATTGAATGCTAATTTTAACTTTTTTTTACAGTAAAAATATACATAAAATTTACCATTTTAGTCATATTTAAGTATAGAGTTTTTTGGCATTAAGTACATTAATGCTGTTGTGCATCCATCGCCACCATCCATCTCCAGAACTTTTTCCTCATTTTAATACTGAAACTCTGTACTTATTAAGTAATAACTACTCACTTCCTCCTTCCCTCAAACCCTAGAAATCACTATTCAACTTTTTATCCCCATGGCATTTGAGTATTCTAGATACATCACATAAACAGAATTATATAATATTTGTCCTTTTATTCTCACTTATTTCACTTAATGTCTTTAAGATTCACCCATGTTGTAGCATGTGTCAAAATCTCCCTTTTGAAAGCTGCATAATATTCTATTGTATGTATATAACCCATTTTGTGTATCCATTCATCTGTTGGTGGACATTTTGGGTTGTTTTCACCTTTCAGCTGTTGTGAATAATGCTGCTATGAACCACGGTGTACAAATATCTGTCTGAGTCCCTGGTTTTAGTTATTTTGTGTATGTACCCAGAAGTGGAATTATTGGGTCAAGTGGTAATTTTATGTTTAGGTTTTTACTTTTTACCATCTTTGCTTTGAACTTGGTTCAATCTTTGTGATCCTTTATTGTTAGGCCCCATTTATTTTATATCTGTGAGTGTGTGTTAAAACAAATCTATAGTGGCTCTTTCATGCAGTTGTATTCTGAGAGGAAAGTGTTCATGTTACTCCCTAGAAGTACCTATAATTTGTCTATTTAAAAATATACTACTGTAAGTATAGAGCACATTTTGTCTGCTAGATCAGAACCTCCATTAGCTCTTTGCAACCCCTACTGTCAGTATTGCCTTAGACATCTGGTAGCAATGTATAGAAAAAAACAGATGAAGTAGTTGTAAATCCTGTTTACCTTTCTTAAGCTTGTCATAAAGTGGCCTGGCCTTCTTCATTACCACCTCCAAGGGAGGTAACATCTGAGTTTTGCATAAACTTGGCTGAGTGACAGAGGGAAGGCTGTTTGGTGGCTCCGAAGCCCATGTTCTTTCTGTTATGCAGAGTTACCTTACCTTTTGTTGTGAAAGCAGTCTTATTAAAGAATAGATTCTACTTACCTATAATTTAGATTTGGTGAGAAATGTCCCATTTTAGTTCTTGTGCAGAATTGGCCATAGATCTTAGAAGGGTGAAATTGACATTCTCCATAAATTTCTAAGGGAACTCTTCAAGTATGCAGCTAACATACATGGTGGATCCTTGAACAGCATGTGTCTGTTTACATGTGGATTTTTGTCAATAGATACATTGGAAAGTTTTTGGAGATTTGTGGCAATTAAAAAAAATAACATTTCTGTAGCTTACTTTGTTGTAAGAATAGAGTATGTAGTACATGTAACATACGAAATATGTGTTAACCCTGACATTTAGGTTATCATTATGGTTTCCAGTCAATAGCAGGCTACAAATAGTTAAATTTTGGGGGAGTTAAAAGCTGCTTTTTGGGATTTTTTACTGTGCAGAGGGTCAGCAACCCAACCCCTATGTTATTCAAGTTAACTATACATGGAAATGAAAATTCCTACACATTGTTATGGCTTTCTTAAAAAAAGGTTTGAAAATTTTCCCCAGAAAAATGGTACTTGTAATTTAAAAATGCATTTTCTACCTGCTGAAGCATAGCTTAACCTTGAAGTTATTTTCTATAAAATACAAACTGTAGTAAGAAAGTGGTGTCCACTTATAGTCTGAGGGGTAAAGAAGGTGGAGTATAGGTGTTTTAAAGATAAAGGCCAATGTAAAATTCATATAAGAAGACTAATTGCTCTGATCATGTCAGTGTTTAGAGCTTGAGGTTGGTAAATTGCAGTTTGATTTGCAGTTTTTACTACTAAAAGGCCAGTCAAGTAGACTGGGAAATTGCCAAAATTGGGGTGGTGGAATAAGTCAGCAGCCTGCTGTGACCTTGGCAGGGACAGCAAATTACTCCCTTCTGCATGCTTCCTTCCCTTTCAGCATTGTGTTTCTGTCTCCCTCAACTAGATGGTGAACTTCTCCAGGGCAGAGATGTCACACCTTACTCTGTATTTTCAGCACCCAGCATGCTGACCTTTTCAACGCTGGCTGAGTGTCCTTTTCGTGTGAGACGTGGGTGCAAGTATAGCAACAGGAGGGAGTGACTACTGCAGTTACCGGGAGCCAGGATCTGAATCAGAGTTAGGATGTGGCCAAGAACAGAGGAAGCCACTGCAAGACAGAAACCAGAAAGAAGATTTTTAAGTTTCATGTGGTACATCAAACTATTTCCTGGTCTCATTTCCTATATTTTGGCCATGGCCTGTATTCTTTTGTTTATTTAGCAGACACTGAGGCATGGAAGTTGTGGGTGACAAAAGCATGTTATTTTAATATAGTAGTAAAGCCACAAGAGAGTATAAAAGATGGAATGGGAGAATCTTCACTGCAGGTCATATTTTAGCTGGATAAGAAAGGCGGGAGATACCTCCTGCCAAGCAGACAGTCTGAAGGGAGGCTTAGTGGAGTGCAGCAGAGTCCCGGAATGCAGGGAGATAAGACACAGTGGTACGTGGGGGCAAGTCCTGGTAAGAAAGGTGGGCCTGACTGGGAGGAGCCTTATTTCTAGTTTTGCCTTGCTTTCCCTCTCTGTTCTCTTTGTGCTAGTCTGGTAATGGGGAGCCAGTGGAGGATTTTACACAGCAGAATGACATGATCAGAAAGGTGTTTGAAAGCAGATTGATAGTCACATAACAATGTAGAAGATGAATGATAGGGTAGATTCTGGAGGCAGGTAAATGGATTTGGGGCATCAGCAGTACGCCAGCAAGCGGTGAAGAGTTCTTATTGTGTGATGCACTTACAGGAAGTCTCCAGAATAGATTATCAGAGAGACAGGGTTTACGTCAGTGGTTGGCAGGAGCTGGGGGAGGGGGCAACGTGGAGCAACTGCTGTGGGGATGGTGTTTCTTTTTGGGGTTGTGAAAATGTCCTGGAAGTAGTAGTAGTGGTTGCGTAACCCTGTGAATGTACTAAATGCCACTGACTTGTATACTTTTAAGTGGTGAATTTGATGGCATGTGAATTACAGAGCAATTTAAAGAGAGAGATGAAGAGTTCCTGAAACAAGCAGAAACAGTAAGAAAGGCCAAGATGGGTCTGAGAGAAACTTGGTGGTAAAGAATTGACAGTCCTGGAGACTAAATATTGGCAAAGTCCAAAATGAAACTGAGAGTGGTAATAAAGTTTCTAATTTGTATGATTGAATTGATAGGGAAATAAATTCTGGGAAAGCAGGTTTGGAGAGACATATAATGAATTGTGTGAAATGTTTTGAGTGTGTAATCAAGGCAGGCAGTTAGAGGTAAAGGCCCAGATTTCAGGAGAAACTCTGTGACCGGGAAAGGCGTGTATAGGCACTGACTGGGGAAGTTAGACTGCTGAGAGTCATATCTCAACCCCCTACACCCCTTGGCAGGTAATGTCCCAATTGCTTCTTCTCCTCAAAACTCATGTTGAGGTGGTGGTGGTTATTGTTGTTTTTAAATAAAGCCAAATTTTTATGTGACTTTGCAGGCAGAGGCCAGGCTGGCAGCAAAGCGGGCTGCCCGGGCAGAAGCAAGAGATATACGCATGAGGGAGCTGGAACGACAGCAAAAAGAGGTAGGTAATTTGGGGGAATAACCCTGATTTTGTTCTAGTCTCAAAAAAATCAGTACTTGGCTAGTTTACTTCTGAAATCTGGTTCCCTTTGAAACACTGAGAATAGTATAACCTGATGTATGTGTTCTATTTTTATTTTATTTTACTTTTTAATTGAAGTATATTGATATACAATCTTATATTGGTTTCAAGCATACAACACAGTGGCTCAACAGTTACCCATATTATTAAATCTTTTCCCCCACTAGTGCGGTTACTGTCTGTCACTGGTGTATTTTAACAGTCCGTTCTGTGTCAGCACATTAAATGTGATATTTGTTTTAAATTGTTAAACAGCAAGCACTTACATAGCTCTTACTATGTGCACATTGTTATAAGCTCTTAATGGTGCTCTAAGTGCTTTACTTATATTAGCTTAAGTAGGTTTAGAGATGACAAAGGGATTTACTATAGACTACATGTCCTAGAATTTCAATTACATACATTATGCTATCTACATAGTAAAACACTGAAGTCATTCAACCTTATGGTTTTTAAGCATATTTAATAATGGAGGAAAATATTTGTGTAAGGGAAAAAAAGCAACTATAAGACTGGTAGGACTCTACTTTTGTGTTACAAAAGCTAGTATATATAGGATCAAAAACTACTAGGAAGAAGTGATTACTATCAATACTTTGTGATGGAATTGTGATTGGTTTTGTTTTCTATAGTTCATAAGTCTCAATATGCTTTTATCAGAAAGAAAAGCAAAAAAAATTCTTTTTTAAAAATAGGCATATAGAGACTGAACTATTTAAAATGAAACAGTTTTTTCTTATGCTTTCCTTCCAACATTAGCCTGGCTCTGCAAATTCCCATAAAAACTATTTCCGATACTGTATGGTTTGAAGGGGAAAAAGCTTGCAGGGTAGTGTTAAACACTTCATTTTTATATTGGTGGTGGGTCTTCTAAGTTGGTTAAGGGAAGGATATAGATTCCATATTATCACAGCTCAACACCAAAACCATAAACAGCTGGTAATGTTGCTAATTTTTTAACTTCATGTATTGTTCAAATACTGAATGTACTCTTGGCTTGAAATGGAAATGTTCCAACGCATTGTCTTTTATACTCCTAAAATTACAGTAAATTATAAGGAGATAATTATTAAATATATGTGCTATTTATGGTCCTCTAAACTACCAAAAACCGTATGTCTATTATTGAACATTTTTAGCTTAGTAATTTTCTGTATTTGAATGTGTAACTTTGATTCAGCGATCAGTGCTCTTCAGGGCAAATGTATATGATTAAGACTTTTTGGGGGAATGCAGTATGTCAGAAACTGTTCAGTTTATGAAACTTTTGCATTTGTAGCACTCTCATTATTCCTTCGATCGGAAATGGGGACAGATTCAGAAGTGGCTGGTAGGCCAGGATTGCCTGTCCTGCATGTTGTGATCTGCTGCTGAAATAGTGCAATCTTAAAGTAAAACATTGACTAATAGTTTGCAAAGTAGGAGTGTTTGGCATGTTTGAACCTAAAGGTCAGAGCATGTCTCCTCTGTAGTGGACCAAATGTGTATTTGGAGTCCAACCATTTTCTGTTGTAGCAAGTCTGTATCCTCGTCTCATGAATGCTCCAGACCAAGAAAGACTGAGTGAATGAGTGTTTTCTTTCTGTGGGTTTGCTCTTCTCTCCCTCAGTTTGTCTCTCTCTCCTTTTCTCCCTCATTCCCTTTCTCCCCATCTCCCAATCTCCTCTCCCCACACCTGCCCTTCCCTCCTTCCTTCTCTCTCTTTTTTAAAACACTAAGTCAGCAGGTGAGAGATGACCCAAGACATTCTTTTATCTCCTCTGAAAATTATTTTTTTTAGTTCTCTCAGTTCCTTTTCAAGTCTTCTATCACCACTCCCAAATTTGTTAACTAACAGTAGAGTATTTGTGTGAATTACTCCTGAATTTGAACTTTTTTTTTAGTGGTGATAAGTGCCCACCTGTCCAGGGTTTTTTTTAACTTGGTGTATGAATAGGGTTGGGGATTAGGGCAAGACGCCTTCAAATCTCACGCAGTTTTGAAGATATGCATATTTTCATGTGAAATGCCCATGGGTATTTCGTCATTAGATTCACAAAGGAGTCTGTGATCCCTGCTGAGTTAAGAACCACTGCCTGTTTGTTGCTGAACAGGCTACTTTCATAAGCAAATCCCTTCAAAAGCGCATTTTAAGGCACAACCAGAATTAAAATATTTATGACTATGTAGACCGCAAATGTAAAACTTTATCAGTCTTCTCATTGTATGTTTTAGAAAAGAGAGAACAAAGATGATTGGTTACTTAAAATTAAGTATTCCTCATGTATGTGTTACTTTGGAGTGGAATCTGTCCTTTCTTGTTACTAAAGCTAGCCTAATTAGTTTTATTCTGCACATAACTGTGTTAATATTACTGATGGTGCATTAAGAATGTCTT